GTGCGGCGGAGGCAGCCCAGCCATGCCGGCGGGCAGCACGGAGCCGGACGGCATCCTCAGCTACCAGGTAGCGGGCGCGGGGCCGGGCCGGGCCGGGCGGCTCGCTGCGGCAGAGCCATTTCCTCCTGCGGAGGGGCTGGGCAGCTGCCATGCACATGCCTCCCCCCCCTTTCTCTTTTTGCCCCCCTCTTCTTTTGTTTGCATCCTTTTAATTTTTTCTGCACCCTTTTTCGTGGGTGCGGGGGTGCCCAGCTCCTGCCCCTGGGCGTCGAGGGGGCAGCAGCGCCTGCCCCGCTCCCCGGGTGCGTTGGTGGAGGGGCCTGGGAAGAGCCCCTAGGAAGGCATACAGGCGCAGCGCTAGGGGAGCCCCGTCTCCCTGCGTGGCGGGCAGGCCGGTGCCCTCACCTGCGGGATGCTTGGCACAGCCTGCGTGGGGCTCTGCGAGGCAGGGGGGGCCGGCGTGCAGGGAGCCTCCGTCTCCGAGGGTGGACAGTGGGCCCGGGGCCGGCGGGTGGCATTGCGCGAGTCCGGCGGGCGCCGCGTGTGGGTGTGGGACGGGCAGCTCAGGCCCTCTTTGTCCCTGGGATTGCTGTTTGCTGTCATGCTTGGAAAATGTCTGCTGTTGCCTGCATGCACGCGTGTGTGCAGGGGGCTAGGCAGGGGAAGGAGCGTGGGGAGACCCCTCGCTTTGCAAGAAGCCCGGTTTGCCTGTCGCGAGAGGATATTCTGGCTGGGATGCTCGAAGTAGCTGAAGGGCAGTCGGCGCTGCTGAATCTCAAGGGGATTTGGGGGGCAAATCCACATGTGGGCCTTTGGCAGTCTTCATGCTTTCAGTGCCTGAATGTCTTTCTGCTTTTGCAGTGGTGAGCAGGCAATGGGCAGCCCCTCTGTAAGAGCCCTGTCCTAGAAGTGTTATTCATTTGTGTTAGTTAACACTGGCACCCAAGAGCGCTAAATCGCCCGGTGCCGTCCACATGCAGGGGAAGAGAGAGCTGCTGCCCCAAAGAGTTTGTAGCCCGGAGGGACAAAGAGAGGGGGAAGAAGTGGAAGCAGCAAGAGGCTTAACCGAGCTGTTGGAGGCTGCGCCAGAAGCCCAGGGTTTGAGTCTCCGGGTGACTGTCCAGCCCTTGGCCCTTGCAGGCTCTCTTAGGCTCCCAGGGTTGCGGCTTTTGGTCCCTTTAAGCCAAATAAAATTGAAGTCCTGAGCGACAGCTGCCAGGCGATCGTGGGGGGTCGAATCCCAGGGCAGGCACAGAAGGGAAAACCTCAAACAAAGGCTTGCAGCGTGCAAATGTGAAAAAGAAAGAGGAAACTGAAGAAAAGGTTGTTGGCTGTATCCTGGGGGGCGTCCCCGATGGCTGACGGCGGAGCAGGATCTTTCAGAGCCAGGCAGGCCCGAAGCAGCGGCCTTGCTTCCAGCGGGCAAGCGGCAGTATGGATCCTGCCGGTCATTACAGGACACTGGACAGCAGCCAGCAATTCAAGTCCCAGAGGCGCACGTGACCATAAATGCAGGATCCAGGCTCTCGGCAGCCTTGCCAACCAGGCATTGCCCTCCCGCACAGATGATCCCGGCCCCTGAAGGACTCATCCATCACCCAGACCCGAGTGACACCTGATATGGGGCTTTTATGAATGCTCAGTATCAAGGAGCCCGGAGATCCCTGACCTGGGGATTGAAGCTTATTGACTGAGGACACTCCTGTCCCCCCACCTTTCTGTTCCCATCGATCGACCGTGAACACTTGCCAAGGACAGCAACGAACGGTAAGACACGCAGCCAGCTCATTAACAAGCTGGTGGGGGCATTGTGGGGCGCGAGAGCCTCAACCCTAAGGATGTCGGCTCTTGCCGTCCCGTACTCTGCGGCAGAGTACTGCGCGCCAGTCTGGACCCGGCCGTCGCACGCTGAGCTCGCTGGTGCGGGGCTACATTTGACGACGCGCGTCGTCTCGGGAACACTTCGACTGACCCCTCTACCATGGCTCCCAGTCTGGAGCAACGTCCTTCCCCCTCATCTCGCGTGGCAAGTTGCAGCTAGCAAGCCACTGGAGAAGGTCTACTGCAATGCAAGCCTGCACAGCCAGCTCTTAAATGCACCTGTTGCATGTCTCCCATCATGACGCCCACCGTGGCCCAAACTGCCGCACGAGGGCCCCACAGCGGAGCCCCTCCGTTGTGAGGACCAGAGGTCAACATTACCACCAAACAAGCCCTACAGCCTGGTCCTACAGTCACAGATCCTACTGTCTGTCCTCCTGGTTTCAACCTGCGGGCGTGCTGAATCCGTTCCGGTCTCTGTTGCAGCATGATGCCCTTTTCATGGGTTTGCTGCACCGTGAGACAGTGAATGAGAAGAAAAGGCATATGAAGAAGTACAAAGGTAAGAGACACACTTGCAGCCGTAGGACATCTGACCTTTATTTTTGCCTGCGCTCTAGTATCGCCCTCAAGTCTTCTCTGAGGGTGTGGAGAACCAGGACACTACGATGACCTCCACCTTTGGGGTCTTCACCACAATCTGGACTTGAAGCTATGGCAAAACACACACCATGTCACAGTGACTGCCTGCTAAGTTCAGTGGCGGTCGACAAGAATTGCGCCCGGCCAGCAAGGACGCTATCGCGCGGCTCGGCAAATATGCACACCCTGCCTGACAGTTCCCTCCTGCTTCTGTGATACTTATTTATGTAGCAGCTGCATTGGCATGTCCTGTTCCTGTCCCCCCCCCACTTTCAAAATCTACTTGAATAATTTAAGGTCCATACATTAGGTGCTCAGGATTGGATTGGAGGCTGAGGCTGGTTTCAAGCTGCCGAAAACGTCTTCAGTGCTGATGCCAACCGGACCCGAGAGCTCTTTCCAGCAGCCAGAGGACTCCGTGCTTAGGGATTTTGGTGAATCATGTTTATTATAGGGGTCGCCCAGGAAGGGGCATAAAGGGCACACCTGCCTTACTCGTGCCCTCATCCAGGAATGTCCTGGACACGGGGACCAGGAGGCTGGCAGGGTCATTTGACTAGATCTGTACTTTCAGGGCTTCTGAAAGCAGGGAGAGTTAGGGGGCCAGCTCTTCATCTCCGCTTTGTGCGGAAGCACTCAGCAAGCCGTGGACTCTAGCCCTTGGTTTCAGCCAAAGCCATTAAAGCTGGTGCATCTCCTGTGTGGGCCGGAGTTAGAATAAGGTAGATTAGTGGGTAGATTAGCAAGGAGCATGAAAATAACCAGAGAAAAAATATAGATGAAGGAAGGAGGAAAGGCTGTCCAATTTCAACCTTCCCGTCTCCCTGGAGTTGATTTTAACTTTCACCTTTGTACTTCTTCGTATGCCTTTTCTTCTCATTCACTGTCTCACCGTGCAGCAAACCCATGAAAAGAAATCCAGAAAGCTGCGATCCGCTCCCTCCCCGTCCTCCACCATAGCGGTGACTTCATTTATCACATCTTTTATCACTAGGATACCTATTATAAATCCACATGGCCTGGAGGTTTGATTCTCACGTGGAAGGTCAAAGGGGTCCATCTACTGTCGGTGCGTCTTTTAGATGCTACCTGGCAAGGAGCTTTTTATGGCTCCTAAGACGATGCATTTCATTTGATACTGTATGTTCTCAACAAACATCAACTAATGAAATCCTAAAGATGTCATCAAGAAACCAATGAACGGTGCAAAGGAAGTATTTGTTCTGTTTACCAGGGACAGTAAGGTAGCAGTCTCCCAGCTGTCTCAGCACCAGATGTGGGATAGGACTAGCACCTTGCCTAGTCCCACCAGATGTGGGATAGGACTAGCATCTGTCCTGAGCGAGGGGTAATTGCAGTACTGCAGATGTGGAAGTGGGTCTCTGTTGCAGCGTGATGGAGAGGGAGACACACTTGCAGCCATAGGACGTCTGACCTTTCTTTTTGCCCACACCCTGGTATTGCCCTCAAGTCTTCTCTAAGGGGTGTGCAGAACCAGGGCTCTATGCCGACTCCACGCTGGGACACGGGCTCACCTCTGTCGACTGGTGAAGTGGTGGGTGCTGAGACCAAACTCTGCCGATTTCGCCATCCCCGGTCCTACCTGCGGCAGCTTCTCCACTCTGCGGTATCGTGACATGCAACACGGGCAGGTTACGGAGCAGAATAAGAGGCTGCTTCTTCTTTTGTATTGGATGAGAGCTCATGACCACGTGTCATTGGGTGGGTTATCTTGTCCCTCAAAAGATTTTAAGATTTCAAAAACTTTCCCCAACCCATAGGATGAAAAGTAAAGAATCTCAAAAACTAAAATCAGGAACTGAAAAAATCTGTAATAAAAATGAGGTTCCAGCCCATTAACATGTTCAGCATTGGCTATTTTGAAATTCTGGGTTTGGATTTCAGTCCTTATTGATCTGATTAGTTTGCAGGAATTACTTGAGATTTCAAACCAACCTCTGTTTCAAATCGGGAATTTTTCAACTTACATATCACTATGTATCGTGCTTGTTTGTGAGCTGCATTTCCTTCTGCTTGGACGACGGGGGCCTGGACAGACCGCTCCGTGCAGAGGATGCTCTCCTGGGTGAGAGGCAGGGAAGTGGGAATTGGTGGGGTGGGTGGTATTTTTAAGGTATTGGGGTAGTGTTGGGGGAGTCTGTTTTTTGTTTCGTACTTTGCAGATTTTATTGTAAGCTACCCTGAGCCTCCTTTGAATCGGGTGACAGGCACAGCTAATAAAGACATGAATAAATACATTTAGAAAATGATTACCTCCTTCCGTAATTCGTATTGTTTCCCCAAATATTTTTGAAAATATTACTGAAACAAACCTTTTCAGCAAAAAGAGTTGGTGTTTGGTGAATTGGCTTTTTCTGCCCCCAAATACTTCAAACTATTTTGTCAACAATTGCTCTGTTTTTATGGTTAGATAATGAGGAGTGTGAATAATCGAGAATCGATGGATACAGCATCCAACGGGGGAAAAGACCATTTCTTTTGAAAGAGATGTCTGGAAAAGCACAGATGGGTGGCACATAGGCGTCAGGACAGAGACCGGCTAGCCAGCATTAAGACTTGTGTCCCATGAGTTTTGTATCCTAA